AAGCTCTGAATACGGTTGTAAATGTGTATTCCCCGGCTCACCACATTAGCCATATGAGCTCACCTAGCCTTGGATATATTGGACGATGTTCATTTGTACAATATCGATTAATATTCCAGTCGTTCACAGTTGGTGAATGCGTTTATGGAATTGAAATTTGTATAAACAGCAGAACGGCACACAGCTCACTTATATCTAAGCTGGAATAGTGAAAAATACTAGCTTACAGAGACATAGGTATCGGAATCCGCAAGAAAAAAAATCAGTTTGCCGTCGGTTGTCCGTAATGTTTCACTCCACCCAAGTCTAAGGATACATGCCGAATTCAACAAAAGACCTCAGATCAAGGTAGGAAATAGCATTTATTTCCGGCTTCAAACCAGGTTGAAAGTTTATTGGAGTTACAGTGATCTTTACACATGAATGTGAGAGTGAGATACTGGTAGCAACCGCTACAATCTGCATCAAACACAATCCAATAAGATAAAATCAGTACCATGGGTATCATATTAATGATCGAAGTGCTTCTGCTGAGGAAAGTACCAACTAAACTTCTGAATAGGACAGGATGAGTGAAAGTTCACGATCAATACGTCCCCAATGGACACATGTGTTGCTGGCATGACTTGCGTAAGAGCAAGATGGTCTTCAATCGGGGAGTCTGTAGAGAACTCTTAAATGATCTGGGATATAATTTTCGAGGATGGAAGTTTTCAATTGGAACTTCCCAAATGAAATCAAACAACTGACTCGTAAGTTACAAACCTGAATCAGTCTCTTTTCTCTTGAGATTCCATAAAATAAATTTAAAAATATGATTTTTCAGCACAATAGCACCTTTATACATACAACCAATCGAACTCCAGGATGTGATTACCACACCAGAACACAAAGAGCAGCTCTGATTTAAAATGGATTGAAAATATCTGGACTTTATTGACAAAGCGAGTTTACGCATATAGAAGATTGATTCAGGTTGATCACAAGTGGCATCATCATCATCATCATTATTGTACAGTGTGATACAGTGAAGCGAAATTCACTGCCAAAGTGGCACAATTTCGAAGTTCAGACAATCCGGGGACCTAGTTGGAAGTGTGCCTGAACGTTATGTTTAAGTCAAGAATAATAAATTCGGTACACTTTGTAACCACTGCCGTGTTGTAATCATTTTCAATGCGTGTCATTTCGCATTCCCAGGGACTTATTTTCTGTAATAATTTATTTAAACAGGGTCATAATTGAAATTCACGTTCTCCTCTGCATACACGGTTTGGCTATTGAGAAATTGCAGAGAATGGGGTTGAGGTTAATGGTGTTTGGTGCACCACCTAGTCGTAAACGGTGCAAACATTTCTATTTTATCATCCAGAGGTGAAAACAAGAGTGAATTAGATCAATATGGTATTGGGTTAACCCCGTGGCCATTTGCGTCGCGAGTAGCGGTAGATCAAACGATTGTTTAGCGAGTTCGAAATACATCCACATGGACAAGATGACGAGTATATTGACTGTACCTTATGGTGCGTTACAAATCTATTGTAAAGGCGTTGTCCATTCTCGTTTACTAGGTGAAAACAGCTCTAAAGGTGTGTAATATCATCGCTTTTAGCGTCTCGAATGTGTGTGTGGGAGTGGAGGGGGGGGGCAGGGGGAAGGTAACAAGGAAACACAATTCTGTGAAGCCTTTTGATGATAAACACAGGAAATCGGCATTTTTTCCTCGGTTTTCTTGCCATCACTTCCAAATGGACTCAAAGTAATTTTTTGCCAAACCCGGAAACGAGATGATAGTGTATAAATAAAAGGATGGCAACCAATGATACAATCAAAAGATAAACAATGAACATTGTGAGTTGGAACACGATCACAGATTCAGATAAAAAACGACATAAGTCGTTCCGACAATCTAGCTTTCAAGTGCTTACACTTACATGCCAGGAAAGCTGAATCATCCGCAGGGTTATTTCAACGAAATTTGACATTAATAGGTAGTACGCTTAACTGGAAATGTGCGACACACGGAGTAAGAAATAAATTACAAACATGCTAAATGTTTTCTCGACAAGTAACCTAGATTGTGCATCATGGTTTTCATGCGCAGGTTGTCCGTTTGCACTTAGTTGGTGGCAGAAGAAGAGACTGGGCCATAAGCAGGATGTGGTGTAGATCATTCGTGTATCAGTCCTCCCGTTTACACAACGACACTCTGCAGGTGAATAAGTCTTTTACACGAATTATAATGAACCAAGGACAATCTCAAGTGTAGGAATAGAACCAATATGTCAAGCACTTGAATGTCTTTGTCTATGACGTGCCACCTCCCGGCTCTGCACCATTCAGGTGCATCTTGAAAGTTAGCA